TAGCGAAAAAATATTGGAAAAGAGTACATGTTATGTTACAACAAATTTTGCTTTGTAAAGTACCACTAATTCCAGAATTGTTTCTATTAAGCATGATACCCGATAACAGAGATAAGTCAAAGGAACATACAGTTATATATATTATTACAGCAGCCAGAATTATGTATGCTAGAAACTGGAAAAGTACGACGGTGCTGGAACAAGAAGATCTTATTGAAAAGATACGGGAAATAGCCGAAATGGACATCTTATCAGAAGTTATGAAAGACCAATCCTTGCAAAGGGCAACAGAAAGATGGGATTTATTTTATAAATGGACTGACTCAACAGGCAGTAGCTGAATATATATAGTGAAATGAGAACCTTATACACAAGGCAGAAAAGAGTAAATAGAATGATTCCAGATTAGATATGGCAATAGGTATAGATTGGATATTAGTATATCCCCTCTCCCTCACAAATCCCTTTCCCTTACAAATCCCAACTCCCCTTTTCCTTTGTCACCCTCTACGTAAAAAATAAAATAAAATACATATATATATATAAAAAGAATCCCACACTGCATAATAAACTAGGTAAAACTTACCTAGCATATTTGAAGATTCAATCAAATTGGTATCTAGATCAGTCCAGTACAATCTTCTTTTAACATAATCGATTGTCAGCCCATTAGCCCGTCCCACATTTGGCACCAATGTAGTACGCTCACTACCATCCATGGCAGCTCTGTCAATTTTTGGATATAAAAAGAATCCCACACTGCATAATAAACTAGGTAAAACTTACCTAGCATATTTGAAGATTCAATCAAATTGGTATCTAGATCAGTCCAGTACAATCTTCTTTTAACATAATCGATTGTCAGCCCATTAGCCCGTCCCACATTTGGCACCAATGTAGTACGCTCACTACCATCCATGGCAGCTCTGTCAATTTTTGGCTTCCCACCCCATTCTGTCCAATACATGAATCTAAAGACAGAAACCAAATATTTCATGGTGCTTTTTTTTTCATAAAGAATCGACAAAGAAGTGAAAGCAGAGAAATACAGCTGAACTGCAACATCTAAACATTATTTGAATACACAACTTAATTTCTATTTTTTAAAAGAATGCCTGAAATAAACATAGCAATAAAGCTTAATCTAGGCTCTAGGATCTTTCCAACTATCCCAAACCGAGTTTCTAAAAAACTTCATAGAAATAACTGCAGTTAGATACAGAAAAGGCACAATGAATGTTCCACTGAGAGAATACAGTAAGTGGCATAGAAGAGATGCCTTGCAAAGCTATCCTATTCTTTCTAGTGCTTACTCAGAAGTAAGTCAAATCATGTTCAGTGAAACATTATTCCAGGTAACAAATACAGGACTGCAATTTTAATCTTGTTTGGTGTAAAAGCCTGGTCCTAAGACTAAATATCTTGGACAGCCAGTTGCTTTGGGGTATAACTGAGAAGTCAGATGCAAGAGGCAAGAGGATTAGGTTGACACAAAGAACTCACTAATTGATCACATATTGCTGGCCTTCTCACAGTTCTGTCCCAAAGATGGAATGAAATGTTAGAACAGGAAACATTGTTTTGTATTCCGAAATGAAATCAAGACTTCATTAGCCAGTATAGTGTATTTGTTGCTAACAAATTTGTAGTTTTTTTCCTTAGACTAAAATAAAACAAATTCAGCAACTGATTTAATTGCTTAACATACAAAATGAATCAAATAGCTCACCCTTCAGCAGGATCCAATGCCAATGCACGAGGACTGTCCAAATCCTTCCACACTAGAACCTGGCGATGCTGCCCATCTAACTTCGACACTTCAATACGATTTGTTCCTGTATCAGCCCAATACAGATTCTTGCCTAGCCAGTCCACAGCCATGCCTTCTGGGTAATCCAAGCCAAATTCAACCACATGTTCCAGGGCACTTCCATTCATGAATGCTCTGCTGATAGTCTGATGAATGGAGAGGGGAAAACAGCAAACAAAATGTGTGGAGACCGATGTAACCTATCAACACATCAACCTATCAATACTCTGGCAAGTAACCCAGAGTGGTTTAGTACAGTGTTGTACTTGACTAAAATTACAATGGTGATTCTCATAACATTATACTTCACGTGCAAGCTCTATGCCTCCATCACCATGCCCAAAATTTAGCATGGAAATATGGTTCACACTACACTCAGAAGCATTTTCTCAACCAACTTCAAGAACTTCAGGCAGGTATTCTTCTTGCAAAGCTACCGTATTTTTCGCACCATAAGACACACTTTTTCCCCACAAAACAGGGGGGTGGAAAGTCTGTGCATCTTATGGAGCAAAGAAAACAGATTATATTTTCCTGTTTTCTTCTCCTAAAAAATTGGTGCGTCTTATGGAAAGGTGCGTCTTATGGAGCGAAAAGGTAAACAGCCAGATATACTGGCTTATGGCATCTTGCACATTCCCTTTATCTAATTAGCCAAGGTTTAGGAATGAGGCTTTACTATGAAACCATGGAGGATGTTTCTGGGATTTCCTACATATATGTAAAATATTATGCAAGCTGTATCCTTATACCTATGTACAGGATATCACTGCCACACACTGGCAGCCAGAGGGGCACCAGTGTATAAACAGGTCTTGTTTTGAAGGGAGCAGAGCACTGGGTATATCCATACTCTTGACATGGGTTCAGTTACTTCTGAAGCACCCCAAAAACATGCCACTTGATTAAAAACTACTGTCAACCTAGTAAAACAAGACTGCCATACCAGAATACTTCACCAAAAGCCAATGTTTTTTGACTACAGGATTAAATTACCTTTAATGAGATGTCTGTCCAATATATGCGATTGTCAGTCACATCAAAATCCAAGGCAGAAGCCTCTTTAACTCCTGTAAGCGGGATAGCAACATTATTGTTGTTTGTCTCCAGAGAGATTCGCCTGATATCGGCTCTGCGGGAAAACAGTAAGAAAGCTTCTGGGACAATACATGTCTTCATGTCACTTATGAGCTCCAGGCCTATGGGGCAAGCACAGCGCAAACCCTGAGGCCTGAACAAGCAGAGGTGGCTACAACCTCCATTGGATTCTGCACAAGGATTTGTACCTAAGGAAACAAGCAAAATCATAAAGTGTTGTTCTCTTAAGTAAAATTAACATAAATACAAAATTTGACTTTAAGAATTAATAACAGTTACACCAGCTTTGTCCTTGCCATATCCTGGAACTATTATACCACAGGTAACCTTTGCAGATTCACATGAAGTATATGAACTGTTTCCCATTAATAAATGATAGGTACTATTTTCATATAGGACTATGATATGGGCCAATCTTTTATATATAGGGGAAAACAGGAATTTACATGGTTCTCAGCATGGCTGAAGAACTATTATTCTAGAAGTATTAAGCTGATTGTCATTTGTTCCCATACTAAGTAAGAAAATGTTTTTATTCCTCCCTACTTATCCTTGTTTCTCCCTCCACCTCATCCTCTCGCCTCTCAAACACTAAATTTTAGACTGTAAGCGCTGCAGGATTTCCCTGTAGGCAACTCGATGCAGGAAACTGTGCATCTTTCTGCTTGCCAAAGTTTGTGGAGTGATGGCAAACTGCCATACATCAAATGTTAATAAAAGAAAATAGTTCTTTTCCAGCTAATTTAGCTGATAATAAAACAGTGGTATTGTGACATGCTGTACTTCCTTCAGAATCTGCAACATCAAGAACAGTTTTTACCCAAGTGCAGTATTGAGTTTAAATGCGGGGCCATAAGTTTTTGGTGGACTTTTTAATTGCTGAGAGAAAACGGGGTATCTATATTTGAAAACTGCTCCAGAGGGCTGGAAAACCCTCTGGAGCAGGGTTTCAACCACAACAAGGGGCTACAGAAAGTGAGGAAGGAGAAGCAACTTCTAATTACCCCCAATTGGATACATGTGTACACTACTGGACATGGAAGTACACTATCAGATGCTGGCGAAAATAATCAATTTTTTTCTTGTTGTGGCTACACTCTGCCTTTAAGGCCTGTGTTTATAGCCTTAAAGTGCTATAAGGTCTGGCCCTTGTTCTGGATGTGGTGACATCTATGAAAAGAAGTAGTTTTCACCAGAGATACCATAATTAGAGGATACCTTTTTTATTGCTGAGAAGTTTTCATCAGACAATATTCTGATTTTATCTTTTGTGATTTTTATGTCACTCTTTTTATTATTATTCTATGGTGCTTTAGATTTTTTCTGATTTTTACTGTTTTATTATGTAATATTTCCTCTCTAGGAATGTGGGTAAGAAAGATACCATCCTTAGCAATGAATATATAGAGGTAATATAATCCTATACATATCTACTCAGAAATAAGTAACTCACAACTCGTTGTTTATGTGCCATCAAGTTGGAACCGAAGTTTTACTCCCCCAGTGAGCTTCCATGGTTGAGCAGGGATTCAAACCAAGTCCTCCGAGTTCTAGTCCATGACCTTATTCACTATACCACACTGGGCATTAACTAGGATAAGCCAATTGAATCAATATACACAGATGCTGACTTACCAAATCCCTACTGTTTCAATGGCCTTACTTTAGCTGCAACTTACTACTGGATTTCAACCACTGAGTCCAATGGAACTTAATAATGTGTATATGGGTATAGGAGTTCAGTCTTAACATGAAACAACTAGCTTCTATTCTAGAATTAAACAGATCCTATAATATAAAACATCTCTAGATCACTCAAATATTTAATAATGCCAGTTTGCAAGGAAGAAATAACTTCAACGAATCTTCATGATCTCATGAATTGTCTGAATTAAAATTCAAGACTGCATCTAGAATTTAGAGTTTTAGAACACTCACCAATTATCTGATGGACATTTGTAGCCTTCAGCCCCATGAGGTCAGGTAGCTGGTCAATGATAACTTCTCTTTCTGCTGTCTGCTTATGAACTCGTTCAATGCTTCGCCTCTGCCAGTCTGTCCAATAAATATAGTCCCCCAAAAGTGTGAAGCCAAAGATATGAGGTAGCTTGTCCTCCACAAGGACTCTCCTGCCAGTTCCATCAGTGTTCATGACCTTAAGGAGTACAAAAAAATTACATACATCAGATGTGTCTGAGTTACAGAAGAACCCAAGTTTCTCGTCTCTAGAGCACTGTTAACATACAGTTTAATCCTATAGTTTTCAAAATGTCTCAAAGTATTTGCGAAGGCTTTCATGGCCGGGATCTAATGGTTGTTGTGGGTTTTTCGAGCTCTTTGGCCGTGTTCTGAAGGTTGTTCTTCCTAACGTTTCGCCAGTCTCTGTGGCCGGCATCTTCAGAGGACAGCACTCTGTGCTCTGATGTAGTTGACTTGGGAGTGGAGTATTTATGGCTGTGAGATGGGCTTTTGTCTTTTTCTGTAGATGGGTGATTAGTGTGTCTTGTTGTGGGTGTATTGTTGTGATAAGATGGGTGTCATTAGCTGGCCTTTTGTGTGTCGTGATCCCCGGTCCTTGTGGTTGGGTAGAGTTCGTTGACCTTTTGCACACTGTATTTTCTGAGAGCTGGGAGCCAAGTTTTGTTAAGTTTCAAACTTTCCTCTTTTTTGTTGAAGTTCTGCTGGTGCTTGTGGATTTCAACGGCTTCCCTGTGCGGTCTGACGTAATGACGGGGATCACTACACACAAAAGGCCAGCTAATGACACCCATCTTATCACAACAATACACCCACAACAAGACACACTAATCACCCATCTACAGAAAAAGACAAAAGCCCATCTCACAGCCATAAATACTCCACTCCCAAGCCAACTACACCAGAGCACAGAGTGCTGTCCTCTGAAAATGCCGGCCACAGATACTGTCGAAATGTTAAGAAGAACAACCTTCAGAACACAGCCAAAGAGCCCAAAAAACCCACAACAATGACCAGCACTCAAAATTAAATGTAAACCTGTACATAATACCCTAGCAATGTTCAATTATTTCAATTGGTCTCCAATGTGGGTAAATATTTCTATCACAACTGCCCATCAGGTGTGACTAGATGCAGGGTTTGTTCACCTGAACATAGTAAGAAGAGAAGACCAGATGTGCCTCTTTTTAAAATTCAAGTTTTAAAGTTCCAAAACGGTGCGTGAACCATTAATAAGCTGGAAAACACTGACTTACAGGACAACTGTATTAGTCCAAGAACATTATTCCAAAGTGCATAATGCTACTTAAGAGGGACCAATGGGGACTAAAAAAGCTCCAAGGGGTTTAATCAGGTTTATTTCCCCACTGTGTGCATGCAACTTCTTACCTTAATCGAACATTTTCATGGCAAAGGATATGATACAGTATAATAGCATTGAAAGAATAACTGCTTTTCATTTTAATAAAGATATAATAACATTTTAGCTATTTTGACTTCAACTCAACATAATGAAGAATGAATGACAAGCCACATTAAAATTCAAATGCCAACACAATGGTGATGACATAACCATGAAGCATTCATGGTAAAAGGTATCAATGCCCAATGCTCTCTGCATCCTTACAGTTATTTTTGTTGGGCGATCTACCAAATATTTGTAGCAGCTATGGATGGACAAGTAGTGCACAGGCAAAAGGGGTCAACTCTCTGTGTTCATCTCACACCAAAACTTAATTGAGAATGAGCTTTTCCGCTTCCCAGTACTATACTGCCAAGTCCATTGCTGGCACTGTATAAACAGAATCTCATGGTAAAACAGACAATTCTTGCAAACATTCTGCTAAATATATTCTTCATTCCCCCACACGCCTGAAATCAACCTCATGATTGCTGCATGCATCTTCCCACGTCAGAATTAATCATCATCACCAAGCTCTCGTTCAGCTTTTCCAACAAAGTCAAGAATTCAGTCCTATGCCGATTCTACATATGTCCTTTCATAAGAAAAATTCTGTTTGAGCACTGTATTACATAAAAGACGCTTTATGAAAAAACTATGATCTAAACATTTTAGAAGGCTCATACATGTTTTCACAGAAAGTAAATGTTTTTTCTGCAGTAAAAAGTTAATTTTCTTCTCAATCTAAAGAATCTATATGGGAATATCCTCCCATATATCTTAATTGCTGCACCTTATATGAGACTCCCAGCAGAGGAGAGCCCAGGAGAGCTAGAACACAAGAATATGTTTGAAATATTTCTGTATGCCAGAATTGCACAAAGGAAATATGACATTTCTCAGGATTATACTTCTTTGCCCTGTTTCAATGTTACTCCCATGCAAGGATTTCAGGTGAAATAAGAGAATGACATTTCTGTCCTGTCCTGTTCGGAAGGAATGAATAGGGAGAAAGAACAGCCCAACCTGATCCTTACTTTATAGCAGGCAATGTCAATGCTCCTAGTCTGCAAGAGATCCACCATCTTTGCCTGTCATACAATGGAGTGTTTCTCACATGAAGAGCATGTGTTGCAGCAAGAATAAGATACACATTCTAATATATTGAAGCACCTGCCAGGTGAGAAATTTTTTTACAGTGGTTTTAGTTTCCTGGTACTACAGAAATATAAAATCAATTATTAAGCTGGTTCATTGAAAGCGGAACAAGGGCAGGTTCTTGCTGAGCAGCTTGGTTTTGAAGGTCTTTTTAAAACTGAAAATTACTTGAAAATGAATTCCCAGAAGCTAATGAAGAACCTTCACTGCAACTACTACTTCACAAACAACATGTCATATTTATTCTGAAATAAAAAACTTCTATGATGATGATGCCACATTTCTCCCAACAAGGGACCCAAAGTGGCTCACAACATTAAAACTCACACAGTTTAAATACACAATAAGTTAAATATTAAAAGATAAATTAAACAATACGGTATATGATTTAAAATACAATTAAAAGATTAAAACTTACAAAACATAAAAAAGATTAAAATTTCAGCTGAAATGGGGTTCAGGGATTCAGTTATAATTGTTAAAAGCCTGCCTGAAGAGATGGGTCTTTAGCTTTTTTCATCATCTCTCGAGGGAGAGAGTTCCATAGCCTGGGAGCTGCCACAGAGAAGGTCCTCTTCTGTGTCCCCATCAGCTGTGCTTGTGCTGGCAATGGGACTGAGAGGAGGGTCTCCTCTGCTGATCTTAATAGCTGAGAAGGATAATATAGGGAGATATGGTTCTTTAGGTAGCAAGGACCCAAGCTGTATAGGGCTTTATAGGTAATGACCAGCACTTTGAATTGGGCCCGGAAACGTACTGGTAGTCATTGGGGTTCTTGTAACAGGTGTGTTATATGCTCCCTGTAGCTGGCCCCAGTCAGTAGTCTGATTGCAGACTTTTTTCACCAGCTGAAGTTTCCGAACTGTCTTCAAAGGCAGCCCCACATAGAGCGCATTACAGTAATCCAACTGGAATATAACTAAGGCATGTGTCATTATAGCCAGATCCAACATCTCAAAGAATGGGCGCAGCTGGCTCACCAGCTTTAGCTGTGCAAATGCACTCCTGGCCACCGCCGAGATCTGGACATCCAAGCTTAGGGATGAATCCAGGAGTACACCCAAGCTGTGGAACTGAGTTTTCGAGGGGAAGGGGGGAACCCCATCCAGCACAGGTAATGTCCCTATTCCTTCATCTGCCTTTCAACTAACCAGGAGCACCTCTGTCTTGTCTGGATTAAGTTTCAGTTTGTTTGCTCTCATCCAGCCCATTACTGATGCCAAGCGCTGGTTAAGAGTCAAGACAGATTCCCTGGAATTAGGTGGAAAGGAGAGATAAGAGTTGGGTGTCATCTGCATACTGGTGACACTGAACCTCCAAACTCTGGACAACCTCTCCCAGCGGTTTCATGTAGATGTTAAAACACATGAGTGACAAAGCAGAACCTTGAGGAATGCCAGCAGGAGTCACCCAGAACCACCTTCTGAGTTCTCCCCTCCAGGAAGGACTGGAGCCACTGTAAAACAGTGCCTCTGAGTCCCATCCCAGAGAGACAGCCCAGAAGGATACCATGATCAATGGTATCGAAAGCCGCTAAAAGGTCCAGCAGAACCAACAGGGATGCTTTAAATGGAGGTGTGGAGAAGGCAAAACACTGGCCACTGCCAAAATATTCAGAAAAAGAAAGAACTAACCCAACTTGCAAATTCAGTTGTAATGCAAAGGTAACAAAAGATGCCAGGTATACTTCTTACTGAATTATATGTGCAAGGCAATGTTGTTTCTTCATTAAAAATGGATAAGTCTCAATATGCAAGAAAATCTTCTGAATGTTAGCCACTGTTTCCAATGGTTTCTGGTGATTTTTACTCACTTTTAACCATTGTTTGGCTTGATTTTGTATTCTGAGCTGCCTTCTAAACCCTTCAAACCACAGCAAGAATACAAACTAGAACAGAAAATAAATGTAGTTTCCCCAAACTACATGTTAATTCTTTTGCTAGGGTGACTAAAATTTGTCTTGTCTTGCTCTTGCTATTACAATTAGGTGAACAAATACTTCTTACACATGTTCTTGGAGAATGAAGTCTCAACTTAGATCACTATTGCAAGCACAAAACCTCTGGTCTGCTCTGAAATACATGAGTTGAGAACAAAAGGTACTCATGCAGACTGTTTTGGAAATAATACTCCAATCTTCCCATTTATGTCTACAATTCATTTGAATAGGTCATTCTCTTTTCCCATCCTGCATATCATGACTTTTGTGCATGAGCGATGAAGGGTCCCATGGAAATATAAAAGCATCAAGTAGTTTAGCAGGCAAGTTAGTTAAAAACCTGTGCAAGTTTAGGAACAGGGTGACAGATAACAACAGAGAATTCTTCCTCCCTAGTGACACAATACAACAAACACCAGTGCAAAAAGTGCTACAAAGATAGAAAACCAGGAGAGATGAAGGTACTATCTAGTGTACTGTTCAGTAATACAGGTACCTACTGGTACCTGTGTCCACTGCACTGGAGTTTTGTGTATGTACTCAGTGCAATAAACTCCTCACTCTTTGAGAACAAGTTAAATCTGTTAAGATTAATATGGCTGGCCTGGATAGCTGACAAATATAAGAGACAATAATGTACAAGGCCTTGCAGTATCCCCCTAGGGTGGCAATTAATCTG